AATCTGAAGGCTAAAGGTATTATCAAATGATCAATGCAGATTGTCTACCAAGCACGTTTTAAAAACCCAGCACTAAGTTATGCTGGAAAAAACATTACAATTAGAATGAAATTTCACAAAAGACTGTAAATTCTGAGTCAAGTATGTTTGAAACACTACAAACCCACACCCTAGGATTTAGATATTTATGGGCTTCTGGAGACCTTGTATCACAGTCAGTATTTTGTATCAGTAGAAAACACGTAAAAACCGAGTGATCCAATTCTGCCTTTTTAGATACTTACCATTTGCAATAGCAAGACTTTCGTTCCACTGGATAATAAGGTGACGGAAAGATAAGTGCTTTACTCTCAGCAGATGTCCTTGAGCGTAGCACCTGAAATTCAATGTACCGTATCAAGTGTATGTAGTGGTTAACTACAGTGAAATGTGTTGTTTCCTGAAGTGCTGAAGAAAAATTTCCATAGAAACCCCATAGCTTGTTACCTTGAACTTGGAAAATGACCATTTGAGGGAACAAAAACAAATAGACAAAAAAACAATAGATTCTTACAGTGAGACACTCAACAAAGAGTTAGACATGTGCCCGTATGCGTATGAAGATTGACATCCACTCTAAGCTGAAAAGAAAGCAACTCTTTAAACAGTTTAAGCTAAGATCTAAAGCATTACGAGAAGGATGCAGAGCCATTGTACTCAGCACTCACATAAAGAATATTTGTGGACTTCGTACAAACCAGTTTCTCTGTACTTGAAGGAGCATTTTATGCTGTTCTTCTGGGCTTGGTGTGAAGTCAGTGTGACATAGACCCGCCAAGAATATGATAGAGTAAAGCAGGAGAAAGAAGGAACTCCATGTTTCCCAGGAAGGAGAAAAAGCATTGATGAAAAACTGGATTTCTGCCATATGACACAGCCTAGAGAAACCATAGATCAGGTTAGCTTTCTGCATCTTCAGTGTAATTCAACAGGTACCCAAATTCCTGCATTTTTTTTTAATAACGGTTCTCTAGAGCGGAAAAGTGTATCTGTTGGAATAGTTTCAAAACACTCTTGAGATACTATAAAGTATCATGTGGCAAAGTCAAACAAAAAAAGTTTGAGAGATTTTTATATTAATTCCTGTGGTGTAGCACAGATCAAAGTTATTGAGGGTGTAAATTTGTGTGAAGAGGTTTATGTGAATAAAGTATGAGAAATTAATCTTTTTCCAAAGTTCATGTTTACATTCATGGTTTCTCTGTGCCTGTATGTACAGGATGCTCAAGTATGAGTGTTTCTATCAATTTAAAACCTTTCTAAAAGAAATAGTATCCCATGTGAAAGAGGCCCTTACCATCCAGACTGTAGCAGAGTATTGTCCCTCAGAAAAATTTATATTTCTTTCAAAGTTATTTTGCATAATCCTGTGTGATTTAGTGTGCCCATGTCATGGTCCTATTTGTGTGGAAACGTGTATGCTTTGACCTCAATGCCAGTTGGTTGACAGATGGAACTTACTCAGCCAGTAATTGATGCTTGTTCTCTTCCTCCTTACTGGTAATCTCTGCAGGGGAAAAAAAATGTCAGAATTTCTGTTTCACAGGAAATTCAAGTATTTTGACATACAGTTTTGTCCAAAACTTCAGATTAAAAGAAAAAGTTGTGAAAAAAGTTTTACTTGGAACATGTGAAAAAAAAATGCGGTTAATGTGACACTAAAATGCATCTGCTAGCAGTAGCACAATGCCTCCTGGAAGGAGACATTTTATTTTATAACATTGGATTGGGTTATCCAATCATTCTTCATGAACTGGATCTTTTGAAGAGACTACTTCTGCTGTTATGAGACTACTTATGACTCCTGTGATGCATCAGGACCTTGTCTGTGTGACTAGATGATCTGTAGCATCTCTGAGATGCTGAACTGCAGATAAGCAGGTTAATATCAAGCTGATTGTTCAGTCTCAGTTCTACAAACCAGAACATCGCTTCACAGGTCAACCTAAACCAAAGTACCTCATTCTTTTCCGTCTTTTCCTGATGAAAACTCAGTAGTCTTTCCACTGAAATGAACGCAACTGGGTAAAAATGTAATTTTCCATTGAAAAAGTAATGTGATTTTAAAAAACAGAAATTCCACCAAGCTCTAATAATGAGTAATGTGTTTGCTGCCTGTTCTACTCCCTCATATATACTGAAAATAAGCCTCGTTACTTTTATGCACTAACACTTGCCATTCCCTCCCTATATGCAGTGTCCATTAATACCAAAGCAGTTCAACCTCCATTCTCCTACTTGTCCATCTTTCCTCTTCAGTCTATTAAATATGCTGTAGCTGATACAGTCCTAGCAAGTATATTGTGCTTTTGGATCTTTTTGCAGGATCTTTTTCATTTTGGTTTGGGGTGGATAATTTATTTTTGTGTGAGTGTGTTTTGGTGAACCATAATTACCCAAATGTTTCTTTCTAAAATTTCTTTAATTTCAAATACCTCAGGTGTGCAGGAAAGGGGCAGAAATAAAGGAACATATCCTGGGTAAACATGTGGTACTACATTTGCTTCAGTCTGGACAAGACCACAAATGATAAGGGCAAACTTAAGCATGTACTTTAAAGTATGGAAAGAAAAAAGTAGACATCCACAAATTATGAAGTACTAATGGAATTTTTATAGTGTATGGAACATCTCCAAGAGGTTCATATGAACTACCAGTGAAATAACATCCTCTTTGAAATAGTACATCTGATCAGAATGTAAGGAGGTGTTAGATTTAGTTTTGCAGCAAAGGATACAAGCTCTACTGCAAGAAATCAATGAAAAGAAAGGATGCTGGTGTAGATAAAGATGGTGTGGGAGGGTGTATGTGGTGTCAGCAGCATTAGTTCTGGAATGTACCTAGCAGAAAATTCATTGAAATATAATGCAGTAAGTGTGGTTTTAATACAGAGCACAGAAATGCTATAAAGGAGGTGTTTCAGAAAAGAAATAAAATGTTGGAAAATACTTCTGCTTAAATCTCATTTAACAGCTAAGAATTTTTACATTTAAGAGGGAAGTTTTAAGTAACATTTATCAAGTCAGTAAGAAGAACATGTGCATGGAAGAAAAGTCTGCAGAGAAGCTATCAAAGGGGAAGGAAGAAGCTACTTAAAATAAGCAAGCAGAGGAAATGTAATTAAATGTTAGGAGAGATAACGCAAAGAGAAAAGGATGATAGATCCTTTCATTGACAAGGTGCAAGCGATACTCCTTGAGCTAGCAAAACGACATACAGCTGACTGGGACATACATAGGCTACCATTTCAAATACATAGGCTCTACGTGCACAAATACAGAAACGGAATTCAGCTGTTAAGGTCGGATGGCAGGCGTACCTTCATAGCTGGCTTATGTGTGCCAGGATGAACAGTCACTTCAGTGGGCATAATTGTGAGGACTGCTTTCTGAACTTTGATTCAGTAAATCAAAGTGTATTCTGTAAATACACAGCACAATCTATGTATGCTATAAAATGTCTGTGCTGGTTTTGCTGCTTTTCTTTTCCATTTCTGGGCTCAGCTTCTCAGTCCAGAAATGCTTTTACTTTCCATTGCTATTAACCTTTGGACGGCGTCTTGTGGGTGTTTACAGCTTTTGTACAGAAGCTGACTGCTGCTATCTGTTAATTAACTTGCCAGGCACAACTTTGCAAAGAGAGGGGAGCGATCTCTTTTGTGATCTTGCAACATTTTTAGATTTGAGGAGGTATGATTGGTGTTCGGTCATTGCCAAAGCTGCTACCCGAATTATGAAATACATATTGTGATTGTGAAGATGATCAGCATATGTTTGCTTCAGGAGGTATACCAGCAGAGACATCAGTAATGTAATGAACATAATTGCAGCTATTCTCACTCTGGATTTCTTTCTCTTTTTTTTTGGTGGGGAAAACAGGACAAGGTTCTCCTTGCATAGAAATTTATGAAGACCGGTGATATGAACAGAAAACAAAATGATTTTTTAAAAAAGTAGAGAAAGTGAAAGTTCAGTGCAGAAAGCAGGAGACAGAATGATGAAGCAGCTTCTAACATAACTTGCAAATAAAGGGCATCATTGGCACACATAAAATACATTTAGTACTTGGTTGAGTATTTCAGTGCAATAAACTGGAGGTACAGTTCAAACTCAATTTTGGATACTTAATTTAAGCTCATTTTACAGATTTATGAGTCACTCACTTCTTTGTAAAGAAAATAGACCAAGATCTAAAATATACAAAGCACATCTTAATTTATAGAATAATGTTCTGACATTCAAAGTCTAATAGAAGGAACTATAGTTCATCCAAAATGTTAGCATTTATTCACTACATCTTACATAAACTGTTGCCATTGACAGTGACTCTGTATTGTGTCAAGATTTCTGTGAGGATACAGATGAAGAGCTTATCTCCTGCACGTATTCTGTCTCCTCTTCATGATTTCCCTGCTTCATTGACTTGTCTTTGGGCATTTGGTACCAAATGTGAAGTTTTCTTAAACATAGGGGGTAAAATAAAACCTTTTTATCTCAGAAACCTGGTGAACATTAACTGCATCAAAAAATTCCAGTTACAAAGTGCTGCAGGCAGTGGCATAGCCACAGTTGTGGCCCATCTAAGTGTTTCTCACTTTTACAGCCATTCAAAGGTTTGTTTTCCAGTGCATAATACAGTTTATCTCTGGAGCTTTGGATTGGATAAAATATGGACAGTCCATCAGGCTCTTCTGACAGTGTCAAGTTGCTGATGTTGACCATATCAAGAGGTTAGTGGTGAGGACACAGAAGAAATAAGTACTGCTGGGTCTAGAAAGCTGAAGTGTATGGATCTGCTGCATGCTAAAAACTTGTAAGAAAACCACTACCCATTTATGAGATCTAATAACAGATTGAGCACGGTAAAATTAAACTTCTCTGTTAAAACCTTGGTTACATATATGCACGCAGCATCTTCTACAATTACTGCTTCCTAACCATGTGTGTTCTTTTTTTCACTAGGGCTTATTTCAAAACGTTTGTCCCTCAGTTCCAGGAGGCAGCATTTGCTAACGGGAAGCTTTAAGCAGCCTCGGGCATGGAGATGAAACCAGACAGAACCTTCAGTCTGCACGATCAGCCCACAAGAAGAATGCCTGGAAACGGGTTGGACTGTCTTGATAGGTGGTTTCTTGCCTCTGAAGTGATTTTGGTAGCCTCAGTTTTTGTCAGATTTCTGAAACAAAGACCTCATTAGCATGCTTAAAACGGAATATTTGATACTTATCCTGTCCCTTTGCCTCTGCCACCACCATTCCTTTATATATCTACTGGATTAAATTTAAAAGGGCGTGTTTTGGTGTAATAACATTTTCTTGTGCCAATAATGTCCTGTATGTTATGCCTTGTTTCCTTGTCTTCAGATGGTGTAAATTGGATTATTTCTTTTCCACAGCAATACGATGTAATTTGTATATTTAGTTAACATTTCCAGCTTATCCTAAGAAAATAGAAAACTGCCGTATGTACC